TCTAAAATGGAACTTTGTTGGAGGTTTTTGCAAAAAATCACAAAAAGTTCGGCTTTAACCCTAAAATGAGTTTTTAATATATATAAATTCCTGGCGTTTAAGCAAGATTTAGACTTTCGACGTCTTCTAAGACATAAAGTAGAATTTTATGGCAAATACATTTGTAGAATATTTTAACTTGCTACAATCCTGTTTAAAGGGAGTTTTTAACGATATTCAAAAGAAGGACAAAATATCTTTTTATTGACTCGCCTGAATGGTAAAATTTTCTACCAAAATAATTTCCATATTTTTATTTTCAATATTGCCAAAGACTCTATATATCTTAATCAGAATATTTCCAAAAATGTGGAAAAGGGGGGATTATGCCCCTTTATTTCGTTAACTTTTCGATGTAAATGTTCAAAACGATACTTTCATAATCTGCTGGATTTCCCTCATAATTATAAAAAAATCGAATATTTTTTTTTTTCAAAAATTTTGTGGTCTAAAAGTCTTTAAAAAAATTTTCTTCAAAAATTCCCTAATGGAATATTTCTTAAAATCCTCAAATTCGCTTCTGATTGTCCCTAAAAAGATATTCTCAAAATTTCTCGATTCGGATTCTGATAATCCTTGAACAAGCAATATTAAAAATAATCCAGGTTGTAGCTCAAACAGTCCTGGAAAAATATCTGTAAAACTACCAGCTTGTGGTTCTAATGGTCCTTGAACAAATATTATTTAATATTTCCACGTTGTAGGCTCTGAAAATATTCTTAAAAATCGGTTTTTATTGCTCTGAGAGTCCTTAAAAAATATTCTGAAACAAAATTAAAGTTTCTGACTCCGATAGTACCTAAAATCTAAGCCTACCTCTTGGTCCTTGAGAAAATATTCTTCAAAAAATTCAGCTTTATTGATCTGTTGGTCCTTAAAAAAATATTCTTTAAAAATGAACGCTTGGTCCTTGAAAAAGTAACTGTTGGTCCTTGAATAAGTATTCTTTAAAAATCCAAAAAATTTTTGAAAAAAAATATTCTTTAAAAAATTTTCTTTTTACAGATCTGAAAGTCCATTAAAAATATACTTAAAAATGTACACTCCTATAGCCTTTCAAATTTTTTTTTCAGAGAGTCCTTGAAATAACTGCTGAGGAATCCACGTTCTTGGTTCCTACAGTCCTTTAAAAATTTCTTTCAGAGAGTCCTTAAAAATATATCTTTAAAAAAACATTTGTGGTTCTGATGATCAAAGTTCTTGAAAATATATTCATAAATAGTACACGTTAACTGTTCTGATTGTCCTTGAAGTATTCTTAAAAAAAGCTCGTTTTAAGCTCAGAGTGTCCTTGAAAAAATATTCATAAAAAATCAAAGTTTCTGTCCTTGATAGTGTCAAAAAAACTATGTCATTAAAATTCTTGAAAAAAATTATTTGAAAAATATTTTTTTAAAAATTAACTTTTCAGGCTCTAAAACTATTCTTCAAAATAGCTCTTTTGTAGCTCTGAGAGACCTTGAAAAATTTTCTTAAAAAATCTAAGTTTCTGTCTCTGATAATGCCAAAAAATCTATGCCCTTAAAGTTCTTGAAAAATTCAGATTTTACGGTTCAGATAGTTCTTAAAAATTCACATTCGAGGTCCCTACAGTCTCTCAACAATTTTTTCTTAAAGATTTCTTGAAAGAATATTTTAGGAATCCAAATTCATGGTTCCTATAGTCCTTCAAAAATTTTTTTCAGAGAGTCTTTAAAAATAAATATATTAAAAACTCCTAGTTTTTTTGATCTGATGGTCCTCAGTGTCCTTGAAAATATATTCGTTGACTGTTCTGATAGTTCCAGACAAATATATTCTCTAAAAAATCCACTTTCCAGTCTCTAAAAATATTCTTAAAAATCTGTTTTTTTTAGCTCTGAGAGTCCTTTCAAATATCAAAGTTTCTGCCGCTGAAAGCCCTAAGATCTATGTCCTTAACGTCCTAGAAAAATATTCTTTAAAAAATCAATCTTTCACCACTCTGAAGGTCCTTAAAAATATTCATAAAAAAGGGCATACGTGGCTCAACATTTTTTCGAACAGTCCTTTAAAATATATGTATAAAAAAGTTAGTGGTTCTGACGGTCCTCAAAGTTCTTGAAAATGTATTCGTAAATAATCCATTTTGACTGTTCTGATAGTCCTTGAAAGAATTTACTAATGGTACTTGAAAAATATTCCTTAAAAAATCCACTTTAATGCTCTGAAAACATTTTTAAAAAAGCTTGTTTATAGACCTGAGAGACATTGAAAAAGTATTGTTAAAAAATCAATGTTTCTGTTTCTGAGAGGGCCAAAAAATCTATGTTCTTCAAGTCCTTGAAATAATATTTTTAAAAAATTTTCTTTTTCCAGCTCAGAATGCCCTTGCACATTTGAGGTTATTACAGTCTTTCCACAATTTTCCATAAAGAGTTCTTAAAAAGATTCTTTGAGGAATCCACGTTCTTGCTCCTATAGATCTTCAAAAATTTGTTCAGATAGCCCTAAAGGTAAATCTATCTAGTTTTCGAAAATATATTCATAAATGATCCATGTTGAATGTTTTGATAGTCCTGGATAAAGTAAAATACAAAATAAAAAATATTCTTTAAAAAATTCACATTCCATGCTCTAGAAATATTCTTAAAATCGGCTTTATTGCTCTGAAAATGTATTCGTAAATAATAGTTCGTAATAATCTATGTTCTTAAAGTCCTTGAGAAAATATTTTTGGCTCTAAAACTATTCTTAAAAATAGCTCTTATGTAGCTCTGAGAGACCTTGAAAAATGTTCTAAAAAAGTCTAAGTTTCTGTGTCTGATAGAGCCAAAAAATCGGTGTCCTTAAAGTTGTTGAAAAATTCAGACTTTACACCTCAGATAGTCCTTAAAAATTCACATTCGAGGTTCCCACAGTCTCTCAACAATTTTTTCTTAAAGATTCCTTGAAAGAATATTTTAGGAATCCAAATTCATGGTTCCTATAGTCCTTCAAAAAATTTTTTCAGAGAGTCTTTAAAAATAAATCTATTAAAAAATCCTAGCTTTTTGATCTGATGGTCCTCAATGTCCTTGAAAATATATTCGTTAACTGTTCTGATAGTCCTTGACAAAATATTTTCTAATGGTCCTTGGAAAGAATATTCTCTAAAAAAATCCACTTTCCAGGTTCTGAAAATATTCTTAAAAAACAGCTCTTTCGTTGCTCCGAGAGTCCTTTCAAAAATATTCTTAAAATGTCAAAGTTTCTTTCGCTGAAAGCCCCTTAAAGTCCTTGTACAAATAATATTTAAAAACTCAATCTTTCACCAACTTGAAAAAGGTATACCTTAAAAATCCACTTCCCAGGCTCTGAAAATATTCTTAAAAATCGGTATTTTTTGCTCTGAGAGTCCTTGAAAAAAATATTCTTAAAATATCAAAGTTTCTGCCGCTGAAACCCTTAAGATCTATGTCCTTAAAGTCCTAGAAAAATGTTTTTTGAAAAATCCATTTTTCACAACTCTGAAAGTCCTTAAAAATATCCATAAAAAAGGGCATACGTGGCTCAACATTTTTTCGAACAGTCCTTTAAAATATATGTATAAAAAAGTTATTGATTCTGACGGACCTCAAAGTTCTTGCAAATGTATTGGTAAATAATCTTTCAAGGACTATCAGAACAGTGAATAGTTCTGATAGTCCTTGAAATAATTTACTAATGGTCCTTGAAAAAATATTCTTTAAAAAATCCACTTTAAATGCTCTGAAAACATTTTTAAAAAAGCTTGTTTATAGCCCTGAGAGTTAAAAAATCAATGTTTCTGTTTCTGAGAGTGCCAAAAAATCTATGTCCTTCAAGTCCTTGAAATAATATTTTTAAAAAATTCTCTTTTTACAGCTCGGAATGTCCTTGCACATTTGAGGTTATTACAGTCTTTCCACAATTTTCCTCAAAGAGTCATTGAAAAGATTCTTTGAGGAATCCACGTTTATGGTTCCTTTATTTTTTTTTCAGGGAGTCCTTGAAAAGAAGTCTATCAAAAATCCACGTTGATTGCTCTGAAAAATGTCTTTAATATTTCTGTTCAAGGACTATCGAATACATATACTTATCTTTTTCAGGAAATGTTTTTTCAATGACAGATCAAGAATTTTTAAAAATATTTTTCAAGAATATGTTTCAAATATGGATATTTTTAAAGAATAATTTTGAACTATGAACTATCAAAGCCAAAATCTGGAACTTTAAGAATCACAAATGTGGATCATTGCTATATATATTTTTAAGGACTCTCTTGAAAAAAGCTGAAGAATTAAAGGACCCAAGAGCGCGGATTTCTCAAAGATTATTTTCAAGGACTCTCTGAAAAAATTTTTGAAACACTTTAGGAACCACCAATGTCCAATTTTTTAGGGTGCATGGATTTCGTAAAAAAATCGTTAAGGACCAACAGTTAAATAAATGTGGATTTTTAAATCAAATTTTTAAAATGTTTTTTATTTAGCTAAATAACAAAACATACTAATTGCCAATATCCATTGGAAACTATTGCTCTACTTTTTTTCCTCTTTGGTATAACTGAAGTGCAAATGTAAGTGGCACTTACCGGAAAATGGGTAAGTAGCATGTTGCCACTGCAATGATAAGAGGCCTCTAATTACTTCGGCAAAAGTTCGATTGAAGCTTTGGAGGTTTAGGTCAAAAAATGGTATGGGGGCACTGATAACATAACAGGCGTAGCTGGCTGTGGGGACGAAAAACTGCATAAATTTCAGTGACAAAAAAACAGTGGCTGAAATCACCGAAAAAATTACTGGAAGTTGAATGAAAAAAAAAAAACGTTATCATGACCCCCCATGTTCCGTACGTTAGCACGCTCCCTCCCATTGCATAAAGTGCTTAAAATAGATAAAGATTAACTTTTTAGTTTTTTTTTTCTATGGAAGCAAATAGTTGACATATAAAAGTCTATTGGAAGTGGTAATAACTTCAGTGGTCTAAACGTTGGCGAACATAGAGCTCACGTAAAAAAATTAATTTCTCCACAAAACATGAAAATTCGTTTTATTGTACCATTATCCTTCTTGGTCCTTCTCCAAGGAGTTAGCAGTTCTAATGTTTTCTCAAGGACCTTCAATGAATTACACGACGATCCTGGACCACAAACTGCAAGCCTGGTATGGGTACCCACAAAATGGATAGATCAGAGACTGGATCATTTCGATGATGATGAAACAAGGACATGGCAAATGGTAAGGATATCTGAGTTCAATTCCAAGCAGTAACGAATTATCTCAAAATTATCCTTAAAAAATAAAAAATCTCAAAATTATCCTTAAAGCGCTACTTGGCCAACGATGAATTCTATGAGAAGGGTGGTCCCATGTTCATTTATGTTGGCGGTGAATGGGCCATTTCACCAGGAGCCATTACCAGCGGCCACCACTACGACATGGCCAAGGAACATAAAGGGTATTTGTTTTATACCGAGCATCGTTATTATGGACAAAGTAAACCTGTGAGGTAGGTGGAGGTGTTGGATGATGGGAGGATATTTTAATAAAGGTTTATTTTGTGTTTCAGTGACTTGTCTCCCGAAAACATGAAGTACTTGCATGTTCGCCAAGCCTTGGCCGATTTGGCCCATTTCATACGCATCATGAAGGCCACCATACCTGGCATGTCGGAATCGAAGGTATTTTTGAGTGGTGGTTCATACTCTGCCACCATGGTAACATGGTTTAAGAAATTGTATCCTGAGTTGGCTAATGGTGCTTGGGCCTCCAGTGCCCCACTGCTGGCTAAGAGAGATTTTGTGGGTAAGTTTGATTTTTGAAATAGATTCAAGTTTCATTTTAAAAATTGATATCGATTCGCATGTCCTAGAATGGATATCCGGATCGTAATCTATTTTAAATTTTTTTTTTTTTTTTTTTTTGCAGAATACAAAGAAGTTACGGGCGAATCGATACGTCTCATGGGCGGTGAAAACTGTTATGAACGCATCCAAAAAGGCATCATGGAACTAGAATCGATGCTATCGAATAATCGTTCCACCGACATGAAGGGACTTTTCAATATCTGCGATAATTTTGATGAAACCAATGAAATGGATGTGTGGACATTGTTTTCACAAATATCGGACATTTTTGCCGGCATCGTACAGAATCATAAGTAAGCTATGGAATTTCACGACTAAAATAATTTTACTCATAAAAATCGCAATTTTTTCAGCAATAACACCATTCAGAAAACTTGCAATAAAATAATGGAGGCCGATGATGACTTGGGTGGACTTATGAACTTCCTCAAACCCTATTTCAAGAGTAAAAATTGTACAGAGATTACCTACAAGGATATGGTGGAGAGCTACAATTATACCTCTTTCGACAAGGGAATGTGTAAGTAGGATATATGCTTCATTTTCCTAATAAATTACTAAATTTTCCTCTGTCAGATCGCCAATGGTTTTATCAAACCTGCAACGAATATGGTTGGTATCAAACATCCGGCTCCAAGAATCAACCATTCGGTACCCTCTTCCCAGTGAAGCTATACTCACAATTGTGCTACGATGAATTTGGTGAAAAGTTCACCGAAGAATATATAGAAAATCAAATAAAGGGTACCAATGAATTCTTTGGAGCCCTAAACCCCGAAGTGGAAAATGTCTATATGACCCATGGCCAACTGGATCCATGGAGGGCTATGGGTGTACAGGAGGAAGGACAAGCAACAATTATACCATGTAAGTAAAAAATTAATGGATAGCAAAACAATTGCTTAAATAAAAAAATCACTCCACTTTGCAGTGAGAGCCCATTGCAAGGACTTTGGTTCGATCAGTGACAAGGATACACCGGAATTGAAGGCTTCGAAAGACAGATTGGCTGAATTGGTGAGGGAATGGTTAAAGTAAATGGAATGACCTTCAAATGGATAGGAAAATAAATAAATTAATGAAAAATAATAAATATCTATTTAATTAGAAAAATAAAATCTCCATAGAGAAAAAAGGCTCTTCCAAGACCAAAGAAATCCCTACATAGAAGACCAACCAGTATGGGCAGAAGGCTTGAAGATCAGAAGGTTTTTTTTTTTTTTACAAAAATATACAAGATCATAATTAAAACAACGCCTTTTCCAGAGAACATTGGGGAGATCTCTTCATGTCTTATCTACAGAAAATTAAAGCCCTTCTCTTAAGAGACCCCGAATTTTTATACCCTACACCACATAGTGGTAAGGGTATTATGGCTTCGTACATTTGTAACATGGAGACGGAAGCGAGGTAGACACATAGTGAATTTTGAGGATCTCCATAGAACCGTCTGTCCATGTATTTTTGTGAACAAAATGCAGGTCGCATTTATCCGATTATCCGATTTAGATGAAATTTTCAGACAATATTTGCGTGAAATTGGTGGGATTCGGTTCAAACTTAGATATATCTCCCATATATATCTTCAACTGATTTCGGGTTATTTGTCCACCAAATGACCAATATCAGTCCAGATGACCTGAATTTTGGAATATCCGACCGAATTCAGTCTGGAAACAAGTTCATCAGTCTGGAAACAATTCATCACATTCGTGATATGCACTTCACAAGCATGATATTTGGTACCAGATAACTTATGGAGCTCAAAAATTCCTCTGTCAAATTTTATCGAAATCGGATCAGATTAGAATTTAGCTGCCATATATATCTTTATCCGTTATCAGGTTTATTGTGCACCAAATGACTAATATCAGCCCAAATGGGCTGAATTTTTGGCAATTCTGACTGAATTCATTCTAGAAACAAGTACTTCGAATTTAGTGAAAATCGCTTCAGATCTATTGCTCCCATATATATGTTTTATCCGATTTGGTGTAAAAGTCCTTCACAAGCGTAATATGGATATAGCTCCCATGTATATCTTTATCCAATTCCAGGTTATTTGTGCGCCAAATGGAGATTTAATTTTCTTAAGATCTCTCAAAAGAGGAAGACTCAGATTTTTCCTCCATAGAAAACCCAACGATTTTTCCACAGAAGACAATAGAGTCTTTTCCATAAAAGATTCTGAGATCCTCACCATAGAAAACACTGAGATCCTCACCTGAGAGGTCCTTAAGGTCTTATCATAGAAGAAAGCGATGAGATCTTCTCGATTAGAAATCCTTGAGGTCTTCATTGCCATAAAAAGCCTTGAGGTCCTCTCTCCCCATAGAAAGCCTTGATGTCTTCTCTACCATAGAAGACCTCAAAGACTTTGGGATCTTCTTCTCCACAGAAGGTCTTGAAGCCTTCTTTGCCATAGAAGACCATGAGGTCTTCTTCGCCATAGAAGACCTTGTGGTCTTCTTCGCCATAGAAGACCTTGAGGTCTTCTCTCCCCATTAAAGAACTTGAGGTCTCCTCTCTTCATAGAAGACATAGAGGTCTTCTCTCTCTCTAGAAGACCTGAGGTGTCTCACCATTCGACTTTACGGTATTCTATGGAGACATTTCTAAGATCTTCTTCTATGGAGAAAAGACGACCTTGAGGTCTTTTCTTAGAAATTTCTTCATAGAATACCGTAAAGTCGTCCCCATAAACCACCTTAGGTTTTCTCCATAGAAAGTCTTTGAGGTCATCTCCACAGAAGACCAAGAGGTCTTCTGCTCCATAGAAGACCATGAGCTTTTCTGCTCCATAGAAAGCCGTTTCTTCTCCATAAAATACCTTGAGGTTTTCTTTCCATAGATAATCTTGAGGTCTTCTCTACATAGAAGACCTTGAGGTCCTTGATGTCTTCTCCATAGAAGACCTTGATGTCTTCTTCGCCATAGGAGACCATGAAGACCTCATGAGGTTTTCTATCTCCATAGAAGACCTTGAGGTCTCTCTCACATAGAAGACCTTGAGGTCTTCATAATAGAAGGTTCTGAGGTTTTCACAATAGAAGACCTTGAGATCTTCTCCGAAGAAGTAATCTTTGAGGTCAACTCTGGAGAAAACGTTGAGATCTTCTCCGAAGAAGATTTTGAAGTCTTCGCCGAAGTAGACTTTGAGGTATTTTCCGAAGAAAACCTTTGAGGTTTTCTTCATAGAAGACCTTTGAGGTCTTCTCCATAGAATACCTTCAGCTTTTCTCCATAGAATGCCTTGAGCTTTTCTCCATAGAAAACCTTCGGCCCTCTCTAAAGACGACTTTGGGTTCTTCTCCACAGAAACCCTAGAGCTCTTCTTTAAGGAAGTCGATCGACTTCTTTCGTAACCATTCATTTCCAATAATTCAGCCACATCTAACCGCTACGTTCCACTTATAATTCACACACCACTGTCTATGGTTCTGAGAGTTGTCGTTTCTCATTTTGTAGGCCAACTATTTTGTTTGGCAATGTCGAACTTTGTGTGAAATTCTCGCCCATAAATTTCTTTAGATTCGTTGACTTCATTTGGAGTATTAAATGATAAGAAAGAATTTGTGACAATTTATTGGACACATACAGTGTCTTATCTGGTTTCCGGAGGGTACGGAACAGCATGAAGGGAAAACACTGCAGAAACTTAGCTGACTTTATATAAATTATCTATCTAATGGAGTACAAGCTATTAAACCCCACGTATTAAACCAATTGATTTTTTGATTTACTAATCGATCGATTACCAACTCAAGAGTCATAGATTAGCTATCAGTCCTACAATAGCTGGTTTTAACGATTCGCAGATAAGATTTGCTAAAGAAGAAATACAGCGTCAATTTTATTGCCGCCTAAAGCCATGGCAGCAAGGCATTCAAAGTATTTAGTCTTCTGGTGACTCTCGGAAAGAAAAAATGGCAAAATTATCGTTGATTCTCTTGGCCGTGGTAGCTGGCATTGCTGTGGCCAAAGCAGCTGAAAATGATCCTCAGGCATTTTTGAATATATTCAATGCTCGCCACAAGGAACCCGGACCACAGGCAAAGGCTCGGGCCAATGTTGTGACCAGTTATATTGAACAGAAATTGGATCATTTCGATGACAAGGAGACCAGGACATGGCAGATGGTAAGGAAGGAAGGGTGCAGTAAAAATAAAAACTCATTACAAATCCGATTAGTTAGCCATTATCTTGAAGAAGGCAATTCGCTGGAAATAAAGAGTTACTCCTTAGAAATTCTAATAAGAAATTCTGTGGTTACTTCAAAAAATATCTAAAGAATAACTACTTATTTCGATTGGCGTCTCCTTGTGAAATAATGCGTCAGTAATGCAATTTGTAATAGGTTTTTTTTCGAGGATGGAGAATTTTCAGAAAAAAGAAATAATCTTAAATTATCTTTTTCCTCCTTGCTTTAGCGTTACATGGCCAACGATGAATTCTATCAAGAAGGTGGCCCCATCTTCATCTATGTTGGTGGCGAATGGGCCATTTCCGCTGGATCCATTAGCGGTGGCCATGTTTACGATATGGCCCGTGAACATAATGGTTATTTATTCTATACCGAACATCGTTTCTATGGTCAAAGTAGGCCAGTGAGGTGAGGAACTTTGGGGAGGAGATAAAGAGAGGAAATTTAATAAAAATTTGTATTTCGTTTTCTCTATTTCCTTCCAGTGCCATGACCAATGACAACATGAAATATTTGAATGTCCGCCAAGCTTTGGCCGATTTGGCCCACTTTATCCGCACCATGAAAGCCACCATTCCTGGCATGAGCAATTCCAAGGCCATACTGACTGGTGGTTCGTATTCCGCCACCATGGTAACATGGTTCAAGAAACTGTATCCCGATTTGGCTGCCGGCTGTTGGGCTTCCAGTGCTCCATTGTTTGCAAAGGCTAACTTTTTTGGTAAGTATTTTAGATAATTTAGATAAATGTTGGATAATTTATCTACGTTTTGGCATTTAAATGAATGGAGAATCTCCTTTATCTAAATGGTGAAAATAATTTATCCATGTTAGCAAATGGCAAGGATAATTAATTGTATCTGCAACATTCGAACAAGGTGGATAATGTATCTATATTATCCAAACCACTTGGATAATGTATCTACAACGTGGATAATGTATCTACATTATCCGAACCACTTGGATAATGTATCTACAATGTGAATAATGTATCTACACCGTGGATAATGTATCTACAGTATCCAAACCCCGTGGATAATGTATCTACAACGTGGATAATGTATCTACATTATCCGAACCACTTGGATAATGTATCTACAATGTGAATAATGTATCTACACCGTGGATAATGTATCTACAGTATCCAAACAACGTGGATAATGTATCTGCAGTATCCAAACCCCGTGGATAATGTATCTACAACGTGGATAATGTATCTACATTATCCGAACAACTTGGATAATGTATCTACAATGTGGATAATGTATCTACAGCATCCAAACAACGTGGATAATGTATCTACAACGTGGATAATGTATCTACAGTATCCAAACCCCGTGGATAATGTATCTACACTATCAAAACCACGTGGATACAGTATCTACAACGTGGCTAATGTATCTACATTATGCAAACCACGTGGATAATGTATCTACATTTTCTAAACCACTTGGATAATGTATCTACAACACGGATAATGTATCTATACCGTGGATAATGTATCTACAGTATCCAAACAACGTGGATAACAATCAGAATAATGTATCTGCAGCGTGGAACATGGATCTGTATTATCCAAACCCCGTGGATAACAATCAGAATAATGTATCTGCAGCGTGGAACATGGATCTGTATTATCCAAACAACTTTGATAATATACCTACATTATGAAAAGAAGGCGGATATTGTATCTGTATTATCGCAACAACGTGGGTAATGTATCTATACCATTCAAACACCACTGATACCATAACCACATTATCCAAACCGCATATATAATTTATCCACATTATCCCAACAGCACAGATAGATTACCCACACTATACAAGCTAAGATGAAAAAACTGCAACCAACTTTAGACTGCCGTCATTTCTAAGCCACTCGTCCGACAGCTGTTAAAATTATGCCAATGACAGCTCAATATATATTCTTTACAAGCGTACAAAACATTTTGGTGAGAATTTTCCAGAAAAAAAGTTATTCGTGATGGAATTCAAGCGTGGTAGTGTGATTTCTTTATATTTGGCTTGAGAACCACAAGTGTCTATCGTTAGAGCACTCCAGCATTTAAATGTGAATAAATCTTTCGTATCTCATACCATCGACGTCTCCGTGATACTGGTAGCGTAGCCCGACGTCAAGGAATTGGACGAAAAAAAAAAACAAAAACATCAGCAGAAATGGTTCGAAAAGTAAAGAAGCGACTTGATCGAAACCCGCGCCGCAGTGGCCGAAAAATGGATCATGAGCTGAACATATCGCAATATTCCATTCGGAATATTGAAAAATGAGCTCGGGGTAAAGCCATTGAAATTCCAACAAGTGCAAGAACTTACACCGCAACGAGAAGAAAATAGACTCAAAAGAGCTAAAGAGTTACTTTGCTTGGCCGACAGTGGTGAAATGCCGAATTTGGTTTTCTCCGATGAGAAAATATTCGTTGTCCAGCAGTTTTTAAACAAACAAAATGATCGTGTTTACTTGCAACAGAAGTCAGCTGAAAATTTGCACCTTCGGTTGGCCACCAGAACTCAAGCGCCGGCCATGGCGATGGGGTGGGTCGTCATAGCAGCCGATGGTCGCTCTCCGCTCGTATCAATCGACTGTGGCATTAGAATAAATGCCAAATATTATCGCGAAAATATTCTGAAGGGTGTATTAAAGCCTTGGACATTCCAACAGGACTCAGCACCACTGCACTAGCACGTTACAAAATGTGGTTCCTCGCTTAATTTCCAGCGCAAAATGACCACCAAAATCTTCGGATACTAATCCGTTGCCCTATTGTATCTGGAGTATTTTGGAAAGCAGGATTGGCACTAAAAAATACCAACGTGGTGATCGATACTTAAGCAAGCGCTTCGCCGGAAAAGGGCCAAAGTACTGCAGAGCAACATTCAGGCAGCGTGTGACGGTTTCATTGGACGTTTGAAGGCCATAATTCGTGCCAAAAGTGACCAATTCGAACAAATCTATACTTAGTCTAAAATTTGATGCTATTTCCGACATTTTTCAATAAAATTTAAAAAATATGTAAAAAATATGGCGTTTTTTTTTTTTTTTTTTTTTTTTTTTTTTGAAGTTTTTTTTATCCCACCCTGCACAAACGAACTTGAAAATTGCCTGCATGACAATATTTTTCTTAATAAAATATATATATTTTTTTGTTTCCTCCCATATTCCAGAATACAAAGAAGTTATGGGCGAATCCGTAACCTTGGTTGGTGGTCAAACCTGCCATGATCGCATTAAACGTGGTATTGCCGAACTGGAATCGATGATTGAGAATAAACGTGGTGCTGAGGTTAAGGCTATGCTGCGCTTGTGCAATAACTTTGATGAGCATAGCGATTTGGATGTCTGGACATTGTTCTATGAGATTTCGGAAATTTTCGCCAACCTGGTGCAGACTCATAATCATTAGTAAGTACAAAAAACGAGAGAACTTTAAAAATTAATATTTGACATATTTTTCATTGTAAATTTAGCTCCGGCAGCATTCAAAATGCCTGCAATGAAATTATGGCTGGAAGCACAGATCTTATTGGTGTGTCGAATTATATTGTCAAGAATTTTGGCACCAAGGGTTGTACCGATATGTCCTATAAAACCTATGTGGGACTTATTATTGATTCTGCCTTTAGCAATAATATTAGTAAGTTAACTTTGTAAGGGGAAAATGGATGAAGAAAAAACTAATTGAAATTATTTGTTATTTCTAGTGCGCCAATGGATCTATCAAACCTGCAACGAGTTTGGTTGGTATCAAACCTCCACATCGACGAATCAGCCATTTGGCAGCAAATACCCCCTGGTCTTCTTCACCACCATGTGTGCCGATGCCTATGGCCAGGAATTTACCAATGAGTTTATACAACAACAACTGGACAATACCAATGCCATGTTTGGTGGCCTCAATCCCGAAGTGGAAAATGTTTATATGTCTCATGGCCAGGTGGATCCCTGGAGAGCCATGGGTATACAAGATGAAAATCAAGCCACCATTATTCCATGTGAGAATTTTGAAAGAATTTTTGTTTTGGGAATATTTTTGAAAATATTTTCTACTCTCTTTTACAGATCATGCCCATTGCAAAGATTTGGGTTCCATTAGCGACAATGATACCCCCGAACTGCGTGCCTCCAAGGAAAAGGTTGCGCAATTGGTTAGAGAATGGCTGTCGGAATGAGAGCGGTGTAGAGCTGATAATGAAATTGTTTCCACTATTAAATAACATTATTTATTAATTAATTGTGACCAATAAACCAAATGATTGGCCATGCTGCAGCAATATGAGCGATATCTCATGTCTGTTTGTTATGGCCTGTTTTTAATCAAACGAATGTAAAGCGTGATAAGATTTTGATTTTGAAAAAATAAATCAATACGACACTATTTATAGTAGCGTCGTTTTAACGGGGCAAATTTGCAATTTGATACAAGATTATTCGTATCGGAGTGCAGTAAATGGAAACCAGTAAGGAAGGGACAGGGACCGACTAAAATAAAACAATTTTTACCTCTTCTTTTATTTTGAAGTTTACCGATGAGGATATAAGTAAAACAAGTAAGCAAAGGCTACAGTCGAGCGGGGCCGACCGTTGAATACCCTACAACACTATAATAAACGATACAGTTTATATAGACGACATACTCGAAAGAATTCCACAAGATATTGTGACAAATAATAAAAGAAAACCATCAGGTTTCGTTCTCTAATTTTCGAATAATAGCAACTTAAACTTATTTGCTCATTTCCAATTTATTGGTGGATGTTGCACGTAAACGGTCTTCCTAGATCTGGAACCAATATTTCCCAAAGACCTATAATCTCTCAGAAGTGGCAAAAGATTAACATTTATTATTGGTTTTTGACTGAAACGCATCTATATGAGATACAGACATTTGACTATATTCTTCAACGAAATCAGCGTTAACGAAATAGTCGGAAGTGCGTCTTTCCTGCATTTATGAATTCTCCAAAAAGTCGCTGGAATGGACATTTTCGTATTTAGTCTACAAAAGTTGGTAAACTATTTCACACATTGAATATTTTTGGACGGCCATCCGAAACTGCTTGGCTTTTGCAATGTCCGGTAACCTCCATTCAAATGCGCGTGAGGATCGGGCGATAATTACGACTTGCTGACAATTTTGCAGTTTTTTTGGTACCTTTCAACCCCTAAATATATGGCGATTATCTCCAAAAAGAGTAGGCTTCTATTCTGACCCTCATCTTATCCCCATGCAAAATTTCATAAGGATCGGGCCATAAATGCGATCTGTATATGATATCCTGATATCCTAACTACTTAGTTTTGTTAGCTGTAGAAATATTACCAAATGTTTAATTCAAAATGAAAATATGCCAAAGATATGACAAAATTGAAAAAATATGAGAAAATATTACAAATTCAATATTTTCATCGTTAGAGAGATATTTTTATGCGATTTTTTAGACGTTTTTTCTTCCCTGCCAAGAGGCCATTCTGAATTAATGAGAACTGTCTCGACATATAAGAGATCTTTCAAGCATATCTTCTTTGATAGACATATATATCGCACATATTTTGCTATATATCCGATTTGTTGGATGTTAACATCAATGTAAAAATCAGAAGTAACCTTGTCATGGCTTTGTGATTTCGCCGGGATTTAAAATATTCGCGGTTTAATGAAAAATTTTGAATTTTTTCAACACAAAAGATATTCTCTATTTTACCCGCTAAATATTATCCGATGACCACCCAAATTGGTAGGCTTCTTACTCGCCCTAAACTCTAGCTACATGCGAAATTCCGCATCGATTGGTCTATAATTGCGACCTGTATAGCTACTGAAAAATCCGAAATTTTTTCAGTATTTGGTCCATTTCAACCCCTAAAAATTTGGCGATCATCTCCAAAAGAAATAGGGTTCTATTCTGACCCTAACCTTCGTGCATTTCCGACCCTAACCTTCCGACATTTTTTCAGTATTTGGTCCATTTCAACCCCTAAAAATTTGGCGATCATCTCCAAAAGAAATAGGGTTCTATTCTGACCCTAACCTTCGTGCAAAATTTCGTTAGGATCGGACCATAATTGCGACCTGTAGCGTGATTACAAATTAACATGGACAGACGGACGGACATACATAGCTAGATCGACTCAGCTCGGCGAGCTAGGAAGATCCATATATACTTTCCTATATGGGAAACCAATATTTCGAGGTGTTACATAAATTCTGGCCCAATCAAACTTATAATACCCCCAACACATAAGCCCTAGAGGCCAACAGTGACCTCTATATCAAATTTTAGAATTTAACTATATTCCTTCACCCAATACCAAATTTAGTAACATTTAGTACGCATATCCGAAACAAACTCTTCATCCTAGACACAAAAAGTGTTTCAACATTGGTACAATTTAGTACTTTTTGGACAATTATAGTACGCATTTGCAAAACCACCACCAGATCTCAAAACCAGATGCCAAGAGAGACTTCAATATCAAATCTAGGGATTGCAACTCTTTCCCTTCACCCAATATAAAATTTAGTAGCAGTGACTTCAATATCAAAATTCAGTATTTTTGCACAGTAGTACCTTTCGTACAATTACAATACAGACTTCCAAAACCAACTCCATATCTCAATTCCAGATACCAAAAATTTTTACAATATGAAGTTTTACGGTTTTTGAGGTCTATCCCAATACCAAATTAACTACAGTGCGAGATGAAAAAACTGCAACCAACTTCAGACTGCTGTCATTTCTAAGCCACTCGTCCGACAGCTGCTAAAATTATTCCAGTGACAGCTTATTATATTGCTTACATGCGTACAAAAGCATTTTGGTGAGAATTTTCCATAAAAAAAAGTAATTCGTGATGGAATTCAAGCGTGATAATATGATTTCCTTATATTTGGCGGGAAACCCACAAGTGGCTATCGTTAGAGTACTCCAGCATTTAAATGTGAATAAATCTTTTGTGTCTCGTACCATCGCTCGTTACCGCGATACTGGTAGCGTAGCCCGACGTCAAGGAAGTGGTCGGAAGAAAACAACAACATCCGCAGATACGGTTCGAAAGCGAGTAAAGAAGCTACTTGATCGAAACCCGCGTTGCAGAAGCCGAAAATTGGCTACTGAGCTGAACATATCGCAATATTGCATTCGGCAAATATTGAAAAATGAGCTCGGGGTAAAGCCATTGAAATTCCAAAAAGTGCAAGAACTTACACCGCGACGGAAAGAAAATAGACTCAAAAGAGCTAAAGAGTTGCTTCGCTTGACCGAAAGTGGTGAACTGCCGAATTTGGTTTTCTCCGATGATATAATATTCATTATCTAACAGTTTGTAAACAAACAAAATGATCGTGTTTACTTGCCAAAGAGATCATCTGAAAAGGTGCACCTTCGGTTGGCCACCAAAACTCAAGCGCCGGTCATGGTGATGGTGTGTGCCGATGGTCGCTCTCTGCTCGTATTAAATGCCAAATATTATCGCGAAAATATTTTGGCCGCAGACCTTGGACTCACCCAAGAGTGCTTACAAAATGAGGTTCCTCGCTTCATTTCCAGCGCACAATGGCCACCAAAATCTCCGTTGGACTATTGTGTCTGGAGTATTTTGGAAAGCAAGGTTGGCACTAAAAAATACCAAAGTATCGATCACCTCGAACAAGCGCTTCGCCAGGAATGGACCAAAATACCGCAGAGCAACATTCGGGCAGCGTGTGACGGTTTCATTGGCCATTTAAAAGCCATAATTCGTGCCAAAGGTGACCAATTCGAATAAGTCTAAACTTATTCTAAAATTTAATGCTATTTCCGACATTTTTTACTTTCATTCAATAGAATTAAAAAAAAAGAGTTATGGCGTTTGACTTTGTTGCAGTTTTTTTTTCTATCTCACCCTGTACATTTTAGTACTTGTCGTCCAATTTTAGTACTCATTTGCAAAACACTTCCGTATCTCAATCATAGACACCAAGAGTTACAATTTACAATACAATTTTAAGGACTTCAGCCCTATTCCTTCACCCAACACCAAATCTAGGACTATTTAGTACTATTTGTACAATTACAGTATATATTTCCAAAACCAATTCCTAAGACCCAAAGAGATCTCAATAACAAATTTGAGGATTTCATCCCTATTTCTTCACTCAATACAAAATCTAGTACTATTTAGTACTTTTCGGACAAACCGCCTTCAACTTTAACCACTGACACCAACAGTAACAGCTATATAAAATTTTAAGATTTTAGCCCTATTCCTTCACCCAATACCAAATGTAATAATTTTCGTACAATTATGGTGCACATTTCCAAAACCACCTCCATGCCTCAATTTCAGATCCCAAGAAAGTCCTAAATATCATATTTTATAATTCCAGCCCTACCTCTTTACCCAATACCAACTTTAGTACCATTTAGTACTTTTGGACATTTATAGTACACATTTTCAAAACCACACCCGTTCTTCAATTCCAAATAGCAACAGAGAGCTCAATATCAAATTTCAGGATTCCAGCTCTCTCTTTTTACCCAATTCCAAATTTAGTACCATTCGGTACTTTTATCTAATAATAGCAAACACATCCTTAACCACCTCCTTATCTCTATTCCAAAAACCACAGTGACTTCAATATCAAATTTGAGGATTCGTACAAATTTAGTACACATTTCCAAACCCACCTGCAAATCTCAATCTCAGATACCAACATCATACCATATCAAATTTCAGGATTCCAGCCCCATCCCTTCATCCAATACCAAATGTAGTCCAAATCTGTACTATACATTTCCCAAACCTCCTCCATATCTCGAATCCAGATAGAAACATAGACCAGGATTCCAATCCTATCCCTTCACCCAATACAAAATTTAGTACTATTTATTAGATTTAGTACTTTTCGTACAATTAAAGTACATATTTCCGAAACCACCTCCAAATATCCAGGTTACACATGAACAGCGATCCTAATACCGAATTTCAGATTTCGAGCACTATATGTTCACCCAATACCAAATTGTATTTGTACCAAATATAGCACTATTTAGTACTTTTCGTGCACTTGCAACTCAAATATTTCTAACCCACCGTCAAATCTCAATTACAAATATCATCAGTAATCTAAATATCAAATTTTACCCAATACCTAAAATAGTACCATTTAGTACATTTCATATAATTATAGTACACATTTTCCAAACCACCTCCATATGACCAGGTTAGACATGAACAGCGACTCTAACATAACATTTCAGATTTCAAGCACTATCTTTTTACCAAATGTCAAATTGTACCAAATATAGTACTATTTAGTACTTTTCTTACACTTGTAGTACACA